GTTGCCAATCCTCCTCTTTTTGCTGAGGAAGACTGGCCCTGGGCTAACATCCATGCCCATTTTTCTCTACTTTATACGGGACACCGCCACAGCATGGCTTGACAAGCAGTGCCTCAGTGTGTGCCTGGGATCCAAACCTGCGAACCCCGGGCAGCCGCAGTGGAGCACGCGCACTTCACCGCTACGCCACCGGGCTGACCCCTATACCCATTTTATTGAAAGTTTTTTATCATAAATGGATGTTGGATCTTGTCAAATGCTTTCTCTGCATCTACTGAGATGATCATGTGGTCTTTATTCCTCATTTTGTTAATGTGGTATATCATATTAATTGGAGATGTTGAATCCCAATTTGCGGGGTTTTGAACCATCCCTGTGTTCCCAGTATAAATCTCACTGGATCATGGTGTGTGATCCTTTTAACGTATTGCTGTATTCGGTTTGCCAATATTTTGTTGAGGATATTTGCATCTATGTTCATCAGTGATATTGGCCTATAATTTTCTTTCTTTGTGTTGTCTTTGTCTGGCATTGGGACCAGGGTGATGTTGGCCTCATAGGATGAGTTAGGAAGTGTTCTGTCTTCTTCAATTTTTTGGAATAGTTTGAGAAGGAGAAGATCTTTTAAACTGTTAAGGGGCCACCCCAATGGGGCGGCAGTTAAGTTTGCCCATTCTGCTTTGGTGGCCTGGGGTTCACCAGTTTGGATCCTGGGTGTGGACCTACTCACTGCTCATCAAGCCATGCTTAGGCAGCATCCCACATAGAAGACCTATAAGAACCTACAAGTATGATATACAACTAGGTACTGGGGGCTTTGGGGAGAAAAAATAAATAAATAAATAAAATGTCGATAAAGTCTAATTTACTATTACCATCCTTTATATTGATTTTTTCTGTGTTCTGTGTAGGAATCTTTTTCTGTGTAAGAATCTTTGCCTGCCCAGGTCATAAATATATTTTCATATGTTTTATTCTAAAAGCTTTATAGTTTTAGCTTTAATGTTTTGATCTATGATCCATCAAAAATTAACTTTTGCGGAGAAGATGTGAAGAAAAGGGAACCCTCATACACTGTTGGTGGGAATGCAAACTGGTGCAGCCACTATGGAAAACAGTATGGAGATTTCTCAAAAAATTAAAAATCAAAACACCATATGACCCAGCAATTCCACTACTGGGTATTTATCCAAAGAACTTGAAATCAATAATTCAAAGAGACTTATGCATCCCTATGTTCACTGCAGCTTTATTCACAATAGCCAAGACGTGGAAGCAACCCAAGGGTCCATCAACTGATGAATGGATAAAGAAGATGTGGGGTATATATATATACACAATGGAATACTACTCAGCCATAAAAAAAGACAAAATCATCCCATTTGCAACAACATGGATGGAACTTGAGGGTATTATGTTAAGTGAGACAAGCCAGACAGAGAAAGACCAACACCATATGATTTCACTTACACGTGGAAGATAAACACATGGACAAAGAGAAAAGATTAGTGGTTACCAGAGGGAAGGGGGTCAGGAGGTGGGCATAAAGGGTAAAGGGGCACATATATATGATAACTGACAAATAATAATGTACAAATGAAATTTCACAATGTTATAAACTATTGTGACACCAATAAAAAAATTAAAATAAATTTTTAAAAAATTAACTTTTGTGAGTTTTGTGAGGCAGAAATAGAGTTTCCCTCCAGCATCATTGGTTTCAGCAACATTCTTTTATCCATTGAATTTAAATCTTTATTGAAAACCAACTGACCATGTAGGTGTGAGTCTATTTTAGGTCTCTCAACTCAGTTCCATTTATCTATATTATTTTCCTTATGCTACTGCCCACTGTTTTGTTTATAATAGTTTATAGTAAGTCTTAAAGTCAGGTAGTGTAAGTTTACCAGCTTTGTACATTTTTTGCACAGCTCAATAAAATTTGTAATATGTACATACTTATGTAATCATCACACAGATCAAAGCGTGCTCTTACCTAGTCCCTTTCATTTCAGTATCATATCCTCAGCCTTACGTGTACTGGTTGATCACTTGGCTAAAGATCCTCTTTTGTACCCTCTGAAGAAAATATTCAGTTGTCCGCAAGGACAATGGAGAGGCAAAACAGCCACAACACTCAGCATCAACTCTGGATTTTTCCTTAAAATAAAAATTAGCTCACTTTCTAGGCCTTTTAATCATTTCTGACCATGAAACATAATGTGTTATCTAAATTTTCTGCTTCATTCTTGGGAGATAGAGTTTTATGGAGAGCCCCATTTGCTAGGCTGACTATTGAACATGAGGTTGCAAATTGGAAGGTGCAGGAGAGCTGACTTTTTTTTTTGCATATGAAGGAAGATGAGAGAGAGATTTAGATACAGTATGGGGAAGAATAGGCTGGAACCAGTAAACCGATTTTAGGGTTTGACGGTGGATGTCAGGTTTTGGATAACGAGAAGAGGCTGGATGGGCACATAAAGGGAGAAAGAACTTTAGTGGAAACATCAGATATTTAAAGGCCATTTCATGACACCTTATCATTTGTTTGAGTCTTCTCTTCATCTTTGTAAAAATAGCAAAAAGTGGACTTGATGTACTTGTTATGTATTTTTAAACACGCATATTTAAATAAATTTCACAAACAATGCATTGAAAGTAAAATGGGTCCAACCTGGGGAGTCAAACCTACCTGGCTGAAGTGCCCCTGTGTGTGCGATGTTCTCAACAGTTGCGGCTTTCTCTAGTTTCCCCCACACCTAAAAGTCCTCAGCTGAAAACCCATCAGAAATCATTTCCTTTGCTAAAAGATTTTAAAGTAAGTATATTAAAAAAAACTTATCAATTGCATCCTTGGAATCCATAGAAACCCCAGAGAAAGACACTCAAGTGCTACAAGATCAAGTGCTGCTCAATGGGGAGGAAAAGGGCTTGCTTCCTCACTGGTAGTCAGGTCAAGTTTGTTTGCTTTGACTCCAACTGGAGATGGGAACTCGACTCACCTTCACCAGCGACGGGAAGACCGGGTCCCAAAGGACGCCGACTTGATCTTCATGGAAATCTCATTGGATTTCTTTCTTTCCCTTTGATCTATTTCTACCTCCCCCTTTCTGTCTCTTCAAGATCGTGTTTTGTTTTTTTTTTTAATCTTTACTGGACAGGACTTAAAGGGGAGGCGGACGTTCTCTCACCGGTCTCTCTCTGCCTGGGCGTGTTCGCCGCTCAGTCTGACCCGGACGTTACCGCTCGCGGGTGAGAACGCGAGGAGCTGGGAGCGCAGCGGCTACCGGGAACCACACACGCGCCGCGTGCGCCCGCGCGCACCGCGCACCCGCGCCTCGCGGGATCCCGGCAAATTGAATCAACGCCTCTTGAAGCTTCTCTGGAGGCCCCACTGGAGGCGTGGGGGCGGGGGGGCTCCTGACCTGGCGAGAAAGGCCGCGCTGAGGGGGCCCAGCCCTGCCCCTCGAGAACAGGCCTAGAAGAGGCTGATTTTGACGGGCAGAACTAAAGACAAGTCTCAACGGCGGCCCAAACCCCCGGTCCCGACATTAAAGGTCTCAACTCCTAAAGTCTTAGCGGACCGAGGGTCGCGAGTTGACTCAATCTCCACGCCTTTATCAGGAGAGTCGTTTGCCAAAATCGGAGACCAAGAAAGAGAAAGATTGTGTGGATCAAAGTCCACAATTAACCAGAGAGGAAACACGATTTTGTGACAAATGGGATGTGCGGTGTGAGAGAAAGATCGGTGTCCAAGAGAACTCTGTTTTGGCCTGAGCAAACGGAGCGTCAACTAAGGTAGGTTTAAACTGTAGGTGCAGCGGGTTTTAGGCGAAAGACCTGGAATTTAGTGGAGAGCCCTGGGGCCTTCCTTGAAAGAGTTTTCCATCCTCGCGGTCTCCGGTCCTGCATCCCGTAGGGTCCTTTATGATGTTGCGGATCCCGGGGTCTCACCCTGGGCCCCTCTCCTCCTGGCAATCTCGTCGACTCCCAGGCCCCGGCGACCTTCTCTCCACACGTAGGCGCCTCGCAGAGGCGCGTCTCCCGGGCAGTTCTGAGGTGCTGCCTTCTGGGACTGGTGGACCTGGTGGGCCTTGCCGCGGGTCACTGTCCCGCAGAGCGCTGGGCCCTTCGGGTGGGGCTCTTCTTCTGGAAAAAGCAGGGAGGGAACAGCCTGTGGAGAGGGAAGAGAGGGAGGCACCAGGTTCTGGATGCAAAGGACATTTAGCATCGGAGAGGTTGTGCTCAGTTACTATTAATTTTGAATTTCATCAAAAAAACTGTATGGAAATTTGTTTTCTTTCTTGTTATGTGTACCTACATAATATCCTTGATTTTGCCTCTTGGCCCACAAACCTAAAATATTTACTCTCTGGCCCTTTACAGAACAAGTTTGCTGAACTCTGCATGAAACTATGCCCAATACTTGCCAGAAAGGATACCCAAGAATCTCTTTTACTTATTTTCAGTCTTTGAAAATTTTCCTGACAACCAATACATTTCCTTTCTGGGCTTAAGACATCTAGTATTTGGTTTGTTGTCATTTGCAGTAAAACATTAATACATACTATGCAAAATAAATATAGATTAAAATATTTAAATTCAGAAATAAATAAAGGATAGCATTGAGATAGAAAACTGTACCAATCTGAGCTTGAAAAGAACTTTTGTGATCTGATGTGATCAGCTACCTCCTCTGGGAAAACAATAGCACTCCTGATAAAATGTTGTTAGATTACAATGAGTTTAAGAATTCTTTCTGAGAACATTGACTAGTTAATTATCAATTTTGGATGCAGCCAAATAATCTTGATCCATTTTCAGAGAAATCTAATTGTCTTTATCCAAACATTCTTTTTTTTTTTTTTTGTATTCAATTTAACAATGATTATCAATGACTTTTTATATTCTCTATCAAGACAGAAATATTTGAATTGGCTTACATATAAGCTTCTTCTATTGGGATCAGTTTGAAATAAACGTTTGACAGATGCTCACAAAGATTCTCTCCTTGACCAAACTCTAGTCAATGTCCCCTGAACTTTCAACTAGGCCTCAACTTTTGGACTTCTGTGTTTGTCTCTGTATTGTCTGATTTTAGCAATAATTTTGCTAAGTCAATTTAGCCAGAATACCTCACCCTCCATATCTGATCACCCTCACTATCCAATCAGGTTCCTCTTCCTCAACCATCCTCCATGTGATGCTTGATCACCCTAGCCTGCCTTCAACAAGAATCCTGTTAGGTTGGTTTAGCCAGAATCCTCCTAACCCCTGATGTTTCCTCTTAGTGCTTTTCCATCCACTGACCCCTCACCTTACTGCTTGACTATAAATTCCCACTTTTCCTTGTCATATTCAGAGTTGAGTCCAATGTCTCTCCCCCACAGCAAGATGCCATTGCAGTGATTCCCACACCTATGGCCATGGCCTCCCTTGAATAAAGTCTTCCTTACCGTGCTTTAACAAGTGTCGTTGCATAATTTTTTCTTTAACAATACTCTTGAACAACATGTGGGTGAGACTTTTTAAAAAAATTGTGATAAAAAACATATAACATAAAATTCATCATCTTTACCACTTTTAAGTATACAGTGGGTAAGCCTTTTTAATCAAAATATTCACTATATAAAGATGAAAAATGAATATATACATGTAAAAAACTGGGTACCAAGTTACAAGGAAAAGGAAAAATTGGAGAAAGTAGTTGTATATTTATATAAGAAAAGCTATTATATCTAGGATATCTAAGGTAATGTTAATATCTAGGATATCTATATAAGATTTTAGAAATTAATTAAAATCTAGGCTAAGGTTTTCAAACCCCTCTGAAATCAAGACTCAAAGGGGTAGTCCATCCAAGCTTACTTTTAAGAGTCAGATACTGAATGACTTGATTTGTTGGGGAAGCATTTTGGCTCCTGACAATCCTATTAATATGGAGAGGGTCCAGGGCCAGAAGAATCCCACATTGTTACTGCTCATCTAGTGGTGTCAATCCTTAAAGGCAACATTTAAAGCTAGTTTTCACTGTCAAGGAAGGCAGTGATACAATTGATCCTATAAGCATAATTTGCACTGAAAGATGATGCTTTCAAAACTCCAAACAAAGATTTCTTCAACATCTCTTGAAAAGTAGGAATACACTCTACTTTCCCCTGCCTGCACAAATCTACTAATTGTAGTAAATTCCAAAGACTCAAGAGTGTGAGAGAAATTATCTCCAGTTATTTCTATGTGAAAATTGTTCTCCAAAGTATAATATTATATTTGTCTTTCTATTAGCAGGCTTTCGAGATTGGATAACATTCCTAGAACTAACCACTGGAAAATCATAGCCTGAGTGGAGATGTAAATGAGCTTCTCCTTAAGGTCCTCCTTTTGGTATCTTCTCAGAGTTTGAGTATAACTCCCTGTGTATATATTTTGTAATTTGATATTTGGTAATACTTTCTATAAAATGAGAAAATATCTCTCATGAAAAAATATGGTTTTCTGTGAAGAGGGCATGTAATATACCACTACCCAATAGAAACCATTTCTCAGACTTTCTAAGAAAGCAGAGGAAATTAGCCAATAATAATTATGAGGAAATATCCTGCAACTTAAGTACATACGTTGCCTTATTGAAAGGCTGGATGGATAGCTTGGCCCAAAGAAGGAATGAAAAACCACAGTAAGGTACACCATCCTGGAATTTCAGAATATCAGACTTGAAGAAAAGACTCCAAAGACTTGTAGAGAAAAAAAAGACTCCATACAAAGGATTCTCAGAATGTCATGGAAGCTCTTAAAACAACATTAAAGCAAGAAAAAATTAAGGAAAACTGCTTTTAAACTAGAATTTTATACACAAACGATCAAACGTGTGAAGGTGTATTAGGAACATTAGCTTCCAGTAAAATGAGAGTGAAAAATCAAGGAGGAGAAAGACATAAAATCTAAAACACAGACATCCACCACAATCGAGAGGAGTAGAGAAACCATAGGATGACAGATATAAAGTTAACTTAGAGAGCAATCAGAGGAAATGTGAGCAGAAGGATGGAGAACTCAATGTGAGAAGTATTCAGGAAAAATGAAATAAAATAAAACTGAGCATTATATGATATTTATTGACAGCTACGAAAATTCAAATAATATAGGATGTTGAACAAGTCTAGGCTACTGACTGGCTTCCTCGAAATCCAGCTTCCTCTAAAAGAATTGTAGAAACAAGAGGGAAACGTGGTTCTAGAACCTATGAAAAAATTGTAACTCTCAGTAGAGACTCAAGGCTATCTTGAACCGGTGTGTGTGAAAAGTTGATATTCAGAGGTAACAGAGAGAAGATAAGACAGAGAAAAGTATTTTAAGTTCTGCTCTTGCATCTCATTCCCATAACCCTGGATCAATCATTGTTGCCCCTTCAAGAAAGAAATTATCAGCAGCACTCATTCAGTCCACCAATGTGGTAGCTTCAATGTGATATCTGGGACACACATAAGCTTTGCTGAGGAAAAGAGTTGATGAAAACAAGGGTTTCCTTTTCCAGAGCTTCCTCCTCCAAATCTCCAGAGCCAATGATTGTCATGGCCTCCTCCCAATGTTGCTTACCCATAAGCATTAAAAATGAGCCCTCAACCAAAAGTCTGGCCTGGTGGAGTATAAAATAAACAAGGGTGATAAAAATGACTTTTTTTGTGTGTGAGGAAGATTGGCCCTGAGCTAACATCTGCCAATCCTCCTCTTTTTGCTGAGGAAGACTGGCTCCGGGCTAACATCCATGCCCATCTTCCTCTACTTTATATGGGATGCCACCACAGCATGGCTTGACAAGCGGTGTGTTGGTGCGCACCCAGGATCGGAACCGGCGAACCCCAGGCCGCCGCAGTAGAGCGCGAGCACTTAACCACTTGCGCCACCAGGCCGGCCCCCTAAAAATGACTTTCTTGTACATGCTGCTTTCCACTTGGGGTTCATCCTTGTCCCTAATTTTACCAAGACCAGCAAAGTCTAGGGCCTAGCTCCACAGAAAGGTCTGAGGCCCCCTCTCTGCAGCTTCCCTCATGTCCATGCTGACTCCTCCACACAAATCTTCCCCTTTATTGGGCTTCCAATGCGTCCCCCACCACCAGAGTGTCTGCTGGGCCTGCAGCTTCTCTCCTTTCCTGACTTTCATTTCTTGATCCTCACTCCATCGTGAGACACTGCTCAGCCGTCAGCCCAAGCTCCAGCATGTGAAGCAGTGACTTGATGACTCTTTAAATTCCAGATATCTGCCAAGAGAAAGGATAGAAGTAGCAGTGGTTTTGGTTTCAAGTATTCAAAATGACCCGCCATACTCACATGTCGTTTCAAAGACATAGCTCTGAAAAATTCCTTGTTCAGACCTCAATCTCTTCTGCTCTGTTCTGCTCTAGGAAGTATAGTTGTCCTTTTCTTTTTATCCTTGCCTCCTGAGGCCCAAACCCTGTAATAACTCATCTTGCTCGTGCAACATATAATCCAGCAGGGAGAGCACTGGGCACATAAAAGCACAAGGAAAACCCTCCTTTGACCAGGAATGGAACCCAGCCCCCCGGCGTGGGAGGCCAAGACTCTGCTACTGAACCACTTATGCTTGCTTCTCAACTGTTGGAGTAGGTCTAATCAGGAAGAATTCCTGGAAGGACTTTGAAAAAGCAGTTCTAAAGTAGGTTTACACAACTGTTCTCTTTGGAAGACACGGATAGCACTTAGAAAAGACACCTGGAGCAAAGGCTTGCATAGCGGATTTATACAAGGCAGCACTATAAAGTTATGGCACTCAAATCAAA